CAAGTCAATTGATCGGTGCATTGAACCCGTCCCCGTGTACTTCGCCCCGCATGTAAGCGAGGCCGTGTCCTTCGACATTTTTGACACCAAGTTCGCAGATTTGCAAGCATCTGCACCGCTGATCTACGCCGACTACAAGCGACGAAGACCAGCTAAGGAAGCTTCGCAAACCTGCCCCTCCCACCCGGACTTTGGTCCCTCCCTCCAACAGGCAGCTTCTCCCTCGCAGGTAAGCTCGGTTTTTCAAGGAGGGGGGGGTGTGGCATACTGTGCAGCCACACGGGCCTGCAGTGCCCGACCAGCGTTCTCAGCCTGAAAACGAGGGCCTACAGACCCTGTGTCGCTTTCAGCCTAAAAGCATGAAAACGAGGGCTTACAGGCCCTGTGTCGGTTCAGCCTGACAGCCTGAAAATAAGGGCCTACAGGCCCTGTGTCATTTCAGCCTGACAGCCTGAAAACAAGGGCCTATGGGCCCTGTGTCGTGTCAGACTGATAGCCTGAAAACGAGGGCCTACAGGCCCTGGGTCGAATCAGCCTGACAGCCTAAAAACAAGGGCCTATAGGCCCTTAGTCTTTAGCCAGAAGCTACCTGGAAACTACCCGGAAACTTCCTCATGGACTAGCAAGTTCTGGCATTGGCAAGAGCGGCCTCCCGGAAGCTTCCTCAGGGTCTAGCACGTTTGGGCATTGGCAAGAGCAGCCTCCTGGACGGGCCAACACTATATAAGACTGGCCCGCCCTACAGGAAGGAGGTAGTTCATAGGGACTGGCCAGGCACTTCACGTGTAGTTCAGAAGGCAGGAGTAGTCTTTAGGATTCGGCAGCAGCACTCTGGAGGAGCGCTGCAAGAGTAGCTTTAGCGCTAGCAGTAGTCTTCAGCGCTGGGCGCTAATAGCTGTAGTGGTAGTCTTCAGCGCTTGGCGTTGGTAGGAGTAGAGTAGTGTTGGAGAGAGAGATGGCTGGCGGAGGCCAGGGAGACTTACCTGTGCCGCCATAGCTCCAGCTTCATCTTCGAGGTACCTGCATCAAGGCGCCAATTTCACAGGTTAGTACCGGAGAGAGAGAGAGAGAGAGAGAGAGAGAGAGAGAGAGAGANAGAGAGAGAGAGAGAGAGAGAGAGAGAGAGAGAGAGAGAGAGAGAGAGAGAGAGAGTTCTTCTTCCTCTTCTAAGTCCACCATCTCTTCTTCACCCTCTGGCTCCTTGACTTCTTAGTATCTGCGGACTACGAGAGAGAGAGAGAGAGAGAGAGAGAGAGAGAGAGTTGTGACTTTGAGACTTGACGACATTGGATCCAGACTCGACATGGGGATTCAGACATTTGATGAGGGATTATTTGTGACCTGTACCAAAGACATGGTGTTGAGGACATTCCCATCTTCCCTTCTTCTTCGTCTAACCCCCTCTTCTTCGTCTATGTAGGGTTCGGGACTGGCGCATTCTTCCTGTGTGAGCGCCAGGCCCCTTCACACCATGGAATGATGATGATGCATGTTTGAGGCTGCATTGCAACATTGGTATCTAAGTCCTCCGCTACGCTATCTTTTTACTTTGTGAGAGATGTCGGTTCTTGTTCTGGTCTGCACCGTTACGGTATGCGACACTCTCTCGGCGGCCTGGCTGGCCTGGGCTTCTGCCCAGAAGCTTCTGGTAGGCCCCAGTACGCTGCGCTTGTGTTGCAGCTATTGGGCCTACTTCGGTTGGGCCTCCCAACTGTCGGTGTATGAGGCTGCGATTCTCGCCCAGGGCCTGCATTCTTGGAAAGGCCCAGAAGGTCGTGGAATGTCTTGCTGCTTGGCCTGTGTTTCCGTCAACCGACTGGCGCAACGAAACTGTCTGGACCCAAAATACGACATTGACAACTTAGGGCCTTTCGGGACTTGTTTGGCCCGCCTTCACTTAGGGCGGGCACATCTGTTGTAAGAGGCCCCTTAGGCCTGCCGAGGACCCGTATCCTCGCATTCCCTCCTCCTTTTCTTCGATAGTCCTCTGAGAAGTCTTCTAATCTGCAGGCATTTTCCCCTTTAGTTCTCTTTCATAGTCTGCAATAACTTGAGGTGCAGTTCTCATGAGTTCTTCTCTGGTGAACCGCCGATCTTCGCTGGGATCCAGATGATGTCTGAATCTGACACGGTATTGCATTCTCGGCTTAGGAGGGCGGCCTCTGCCCGGTGGTCGAGGTACATGCATCACATGATGCTCCACAATCTCGTTGATGTCCACTTCACCATCCATGGTTGGGGGCAACATTGACCGTTTGGAAGGGAACTGTGCAGACTCTGCGAAAGGCGCCAGCTTTGAGGCATGGAATACATGATGTGTACGTAGATGTGGGGGGATGCGAATCACATAGGAAAGTCCGTCCATCTGATCTCCCAGTATGTCTAAGACCTCCCAAGGACCGAAGTACTGTGCATTAGCTTTCTAGAAATTCCCAGTTCCTGTCCCATCTCAGATGATTTAACCCAAACTTGCTCTCCTACTTGAAATTGAGACGGCCGTCTGTGCTTATTCTCAGATACCACCATGGCTTCTTGAGCTTTTCTAATGTGCTCTACAGCCTATTGCAGCATCTGTTCATACTTGACAGCAAACTCTATGCTGCCAGGCGCTACAAATGGTTGACTCTCAGGTAGCAGAAAATCTAAGGCGGTTCTAGGCTTCCAACCAAGATGTCGTTGGTTGGGGGTCGTGCCAATCGTGCTGTGTACAGCATTGTTGTACAGGCTGGCGACGAGAGGCAGTTTCTCATCCCAGTCATCTTGACTTGGCTTAACGTAGTGCCTCAGTAAATGCTGCACTACTCGGTTCATTTGTTCCGCCTGTCCATTTGACTCAGGGTGATTCCCTGATGTCATCTGCAGTTTGGTGCCCATCTGTTGGGCTGTGCTTTGCCACAGTTCGCTTGGGAAATGTACATCCCTGTCACTGACGATAGACTTAGGTAAACCAAAGTCTCGTACCCAGCTTCCCCAATGAAGAGGGTAGATGAGGATGAGAGCAATGTAACTTGTAATGCTGCCCCCAACCACAGATTTCCCACCAGCAACCTGACGTGCATTTATGATGACCGGTCGATGCCTCGGCACAACCCACAATGCAATGCAGTTCCACCTCGGCTTAAATTGCCACGTCAGCAAGCTCTGATCATCCTGCGTGCACCCCTCTGTCGCCACATAGCCTTCCTGGCACGCCCTCACGACCCTGGGCCACCTAACAAGCGTTATCACTGCCCCACCAATATCCAGCGAAGCACCAAACAGCTATTGCGAAGGCCGCCAGCAGAGTTGTTCGAACCATCTTCGATACCAAATTGCAAGGAAAATCAGCAATAGCGAAATGAGTCAAATGACAGATTTCAGATTGCAAAATCACATTGAAAGCCAGGAAGTCCGACACTGTGCAGAGAGCAGAATTGCACCGATATTACACCAGTGGAGAACCAAAACACTGAATCAGAGTGTCAATGAGAGCATACTCTCAGCATCACCAACATAGTATCCAGAGCCCTTCTCCTACTTGGCGTCCAGCGCCCAGACCACCACCACGCAGCTACTACCAGCCTTACGTCATCATCCTCATCTTCTCTCTCTCTCTCTCTCTCTCTCTCTCTCTCTCTCTCTCTCTCTCTCTCTCTCTCTCTCTCTCTCNCTCTCTCTCTCTCTCTCTCTCTCTCTCTCTCTCTCTCTCTCTCTCTCTCTCTCTCTCTCTCTCTCTCTCCCCCCTTGTCTTCTCTACCCACATCTCCTTTCCATACACGAAGACCACTACGCCCTGCTGACCATCCAAGCCCGAAGCCCTGCTATGAAGGGCTGGCTGTGGCGCTGCCCTCAGCAGCGCCCTGTACCTTACAACGCTCGCGTGCGCCCGCGCGCTTGCACTAGCGCAGCTAGCAGCCTACGAGCTGATGCTCCAGCAGCACTGCGCCCGCAATGCAAGTGCCCGAAACGCTGAGCCTGGCGCCCGTCCCTTTCCTATATGGAAAGTGGCGGGCACTTTGCCTTGCCCCGTCACGTGAGACAAGTTTCCAGTAGCTTCAGTCTCAGCCAAAGTGTCTGCTCCCAGGCCTGTTCAGACAGTGACCTGGGACCGAATTGGTTAGGCATGCACTACCACCCAGGCACAAACGTGCGATGTCCCCTGCTTTGGCCACGTTGAGAATGCCCTGGAAGGCTCACGAATCTTTCCCATTCTCACGTGCACGCAGGATGTAACCAACTGGTGCATGGTAACTGTCTGGCGCCGACCAAGATTTGCAAAAATTGACGAGTTCAGGGGCCTGTCTTCACTTAGGGCGGGCATGTGCCTAGGGTCATATGCGGTTATGCAGAGGGATCAAACCCTCGCATTTTAGTATTTGTTTTCCATATTTTATTTTTATTTCAGATTTGGTAAAGAATTTGGATGTAACGCTGCGGCAAATGTTGTTCAGTTTTTTTTTCTGTATAACGTTTGTTTTTTTTCAGTTTTTTTTTTGTTTTTTCTTTGGGGACCACGTTCGCTGCTGTGAGTATTTTGCCACTTGAAAAGTTTGTTTTCTCATTGATTGGTCCCTGGCAGGTACGTGGGTTTATGAAAGCAAATCCATTAAGGGAGGAGTGCAGATTCAGTTATTGCACTCTTTTTTTTTCTCAATAATTTGGCAGTGGTCCGAGTGGATTTATTGAGGCGGAAAGTCTCTCATATCCAGCATTTGAGAAGACCTTTCAAGTCAGTGCATGACCCTGAAACCAATGATCTAAGTGTTATGCTGCTCTGGCTTGGAGCCAGTCGCAGTACAATGTTGATGGTGTGGGTAGGTCAGGTGGTATTTTGAGGTTGGTGGGGGGGGGCGGAGGAGAGGGGCTGGGTGGAGGTTGCAGCAGAGTACCCACCTGTTGGTCGATCTGCCATGTGATTATTTTGATGATCGTTCACAGAGTTTGTGAGTAGTCATGTTCATGAACTCGATTTACACCTGCCTTGCATTGTTGATTCTGTCCATATCAACTTGACTGTGCAGCTATGGTACTGAAAAGGAGCCAATTGAGAAACTTTCGGATGTCCTCCGACTCGAGGTAACGTCTTTCTCTGCTGTGTCAACCCATGGAATCTCTGTGTCTGCGTGTGTGTTTTGTACTGAAGACATGCTTGGGGGTTATACTGGAAGAACATTTCCGGGGCTGCCTGTGTGTAAGCGGAAAAGCTTGAGAGTGTAACACAGATAGAATTGTTCTCTAAAGTCGCTGTGGGTTTTGAAAACCATTTTTTTTGGGTGCGAGGAAGACTATCATTTTCGTTCTCCGTGTTTCGGATCGAGTGCTTATTCTTTTTGGTACTGACCTGCAAAATCACAGTCTGAGAACTCTGCTGTTTTTCTGAGTTTTGCAGCTGGAATGTGTGACTTGCTGAGATTCCTGCTTTCTGCTGAGATTTCTGTGTGTGTGTGTTTATGTGTGCTTGATGATGTCCCACTTGCTTGTCTGAGTGCATGTTTGCTTGGGGGGGGGGTGTAACTCGCCAGGGTACTTGTATGCTTGGAAGGCCCTCGTGCATTGAGCCTCACTGCTCGTCACCTTGAGCGCACACAGATTGAGAGATCACACAAATCCACACTTAGAGACCAAAGATGCGAAGTCCAGAATAGCGCAGCTTAGAAATTCCAACAAATTATCATATTGAAGTTAATTAAACAGTTTCAGAGTTCCAGTCACCGGGTGCTCAACAGTGCAGAGTTCAGCAACCCATATCCAGCATTCTCATCCAGGTGACTCTCTCTCCTCTCTGTCCCTCTTCTCTCTCTCTGTCCTCCTTATGCACGCACTCAACCTCCGCCTCTCACTCTCTGTACTTGAAGATCTTGACTCTGAATCATAGCAACCGGCCGGACGTCTGGGCCGGAATCCAGACACTCTCTCTCTCTCTCTCTCTCTCTCTCTCTCTCTCTCTCTCTCTCTCTCTCTCTCTCTCTCTCTCTCTCTCTCTTTTGATGTTCTGTGGCGCTTTACAGCCAGCGCTTCATTTTCAGAATCAAAAGTATCATATTGGAGTTAATTAAACAGTTTCAGAGTTCCAGTCACCGGGCGCTCAACAGTGCAGAGTTCAGCAAACCATATCCAGCATTCATCCAGGTAGGTGACTCTCTCTCCTCTCTGTCCCTCTTCTCTCTCTCTGTCCTCCTTATGCATGCACTCAACCTCCGCCTCTCACTCTCTGTACTTGAAGATCTTGACTCGGAATCATAGCAACCGGCCGGACGTCTGGGCCGGAATCCAGACGGTCTGGTTGCCTGGGCATGGGTCTGGGGCAATTTTGAAAATTTTGATTTTTTTTGGGGGGGGCGCTAGGACGTTTTTCGGGTCCTAGGCCGCCCCCCCCAAAATGCCCCGGTATTTTTTGGTTGTTTCAGGGCCTACCGGACGCCTCCAGATGCCTCCAACAGCTCCCTCTGCTGTTGTACTACGGTGGTAGTTCATCAGATGAGGATGATTCCGATTCTGAAAATGAAGCGCTGGCTGTAAAGCGCCACAGAACATCAAGAGAGAGAGAGAGAGAGAGAGAGAGAGAGAGAGAGAGAGAGAGAGAGATGATTTTGGTCAGATCTGAGATCCCGTGTTAGATCTGGTCCTGGCCAAAAATCTGTTCTTATGCAGATCTGAATAACTTAACAGTTTAAATTTTCAATTTTCATATGAATATGAATTAGAAAGTCTGAGGAAAAAATAAACATATGCTGGAGGTCGCGCCTGCGCCGTTTGGTGAGCGCAGCACTTCGCTAGCTTAGCGCCCGTACAACGCGCATCCTTGTCGTAGTCGGCAGCACGGGCTGCCATCGCGAAGCCTCGACCAGTAAGCCATAGCTCCACTGGCTTAACACGTAGAGCTTCGCGCGCACTTTGGGCGCACGCCCAGAACGTTCACTCACTCGCTCAGGTTCCTTGTCGGCGCCGAATGAAGAGGCGAACTTTATAGTGAAGAGCAACAATACCCTTTCGGGAGATCACGAACCTTCCTCGAAGTCCGCATTGTGGTCCGCCATAGCCATACTGGCGCGACGGGTAGTGCCACGTGCGCGTGCAGTGAGAATGTGTCCAGGGTTATCAAGATTCAATCAAGCGTCATCGACAATGTACGAATGCCCGTAAATTACGGCAAAGACGCCTCTGGACGACTGCTCTACAAGATTCAGTGGAAGTCTGCATCTTCAACACACGACATTCGTGAGATCTGACAACCCCTATCCACCTAGGCGACTGACCATACTCCCCCCCCTCCTCAACCATCACTCCTTATCACGAGCAAGGGCTCGCTACCTCCATCGCCATATCCTACAGTCTCTCCTCCGACCGACATCCCGCATGTCCTTCCCCCTAGCAGCCCTGCATCAACTCATTCCCTGACCATAAGCCGGATAATAACACCAACGTCCCCGCCCTTCTCCCCACACCCGATCCCTCCCAGCCCAATCCCACGCTGACACCACCCCGACCCCATCAACCGGATCCCAGCTCGTCCACATCCGAATTTCGACCCCGATCCCGATCCGATCACACCTCGACCTCACCCTAATTCCGACCCCAACCTCGACCGTAATCCTGCGCCCGAACCGACCTCATCCCGATCCCAACCTCTCCGAACCTCTTCCCATCCCGACCCCATCACGGCTCTACACCGCTCCCACCCCGATCCCACCTTCCCCCCATCCTAGTCCTGATCTCGATCCCGACCACCTCCCGATCCTTCGGTCCCACCCTGCTGATCCTGACCTCAATCCCAATTCCAACCTATCCTTTCCCCGATTCCAGTCCGACCCCTCCCACCCTCATCCCACCCCGCTTCTAGTTTGTTCCCGCCCTGATCCCATCCCTGTCCCATCCAAATCCCGACCTTGCTGCTGACCTCGACTCCACCCATTTCGACTCCCACCCGATTCCTACTCCAACCCACTTCGCCTTCGATCCCGACCCCAACCCACTTCATCCCGACCCCAATCCCTACCCACTCCCACCCGATCCTGACCCGCTTCGACTCCCACTCGATCTCGATCCCCAACCACTTGGACTCTCACCCGTTCTTCCCCCCCACTCTTTGACTCCCGATCCTGACCTATTTCAACTTCCACCCGATCCCATCTCTACTCCGTCCCTCCTCGACGTCGACTCCGGCCCCAGCCCACTTCGACTCCCCCCACAATCCCAATCCCAACCCACTTCTACTCCCACCCGACCCTATCCCACTTCGATCCTAATTCACCTTGACTCACGCCCACTCCCACTTCCCCCCCCATCCCGACCCACTTCAACCCCAACTCACCTCGACTCCCACCCGCCTCCCCACCTCGCCCCTGATCCCGATCCGCCTCGATCCCAATCACCTCGATTCCCACCCGCCCTCACTTCGCCCCCGATCCCAACCCATCCCGGTCCCGATCCCAGCCCATTTCGACTCCTACCTGATCCCAATCCCAGCCCACTTCGGGTCCCACCCCATCCCGACCCACCTCGATCCTAACTCACCTCAACCCACACCCGCGCTCACTCTGCCCCCCCACCCCGACCAAACTCGTTCCCGACTCACTTCGACTCCCACCCGCTCTCACCTCGCCCTCGATCCTGACCCACCACGACCCCAATTCACCTCGATCCCCACCTGCCCTTACTTCGCCCCCGATCCCGACCCACTTCAATTCCCCCCCGAACCTGATCCTAACCCATCTCGACTTCTTCCCGATCCCACTTCAACTCCCTTTGGATCTTGATCCCAACCCACTTCGACTCCCACCCAATCCCAATCCCAACACCTTTCGACTTCCCCCCCCGACCCTGACCCGCTTCGATCCTAACTCTCCTCAACTCCCACCCGCCCCCACTTCGCCCCCGATCCCGACCCACTTCGATTCCCCCCGAACCCGATCCCAACCCATCTCGACTTCTTCCCGATCCCACTCCGACTCCCTTCGGATCCGGATCCCAACCCACTTCGACTCCCACCCGATCCCTATCCCAACACCTTTTCGACTCCCCCCCGACCCTGACCCGCATCGATCCCAACTCACCTCAACTCCCACCCGCCCCCACTTCGTCCCCGATCCCGACCCACTTCCTTCCCAACCCATTTCGACTCCCACCTGCCCCCACCTTGCCCCCGATCCCGACCCGTCTTGATTCCCTCCCGATCCCGATCCCGGCCCATTTCGAACTCCTACCTGTTCCCACTCTGACTCCCACCCAATCCCGACCCCGACTCACTACAATCCCTCCCGATCCCAATCCTAACCCACATCTACTCCCACTCGATCCCGACCCATCTCGACCCCATCTCACCTCGATTTCCACCCTTTCCCACCTCACCCCTATTCACGACCCGCCTTGACTCTCGCTCGACCCCGATCCTATCCCACCCAGTACCCACCCTCTCTAATCTTGACCCCACGCCACGTCCCCAGCACGTTCTCATTTGGTCCAACTAATCCTGCCCCACCCCCCCCTCCACCCCTCTATCCCTACCCCCTCCAAACAGACCCACCCCTTTAACGACGGCCTTAGTAAGATCATTCTACGATACTTACTATCCTCTCTCCTAACCTTTCCGACAAGACAGTGATAGCGAAAAACGGTTGGGCTAAGCACATTGAAAGATGGTGAATTTAACTCAAGGCACTTGCCCGAATGTTTAGACAGTACCGGAGAAAGCAGTTAATGTTATCGATAACGAAGCCCTGAAATTTTTGATAGAGAAGACGAAGGTTCAAGGAATCGAATCTACCGAAAAACAGATAATTGATGGCGGGAAGAGGAGGTGATCATCTGGAAATACCCAGAAGAAAAGATCGCCGAACTGGACGATCGGCATGAAAAACATGGAGTAGTTTTCAACTTCGCACGCCACGGCGCAGATCTCCAGCCAACAGAGAAGAGGAAATGGATAATTGATACAATCAGAAAGGAACCGAAACTCAAACAGATTGGGGACACCTATTCATTGCAGAGCTCGGGACGGAACAACATCATGGTAATCTTTATCCATGAGGACCATGCACGGTTTGCAGCCGAAATGCAATCCAGAAACTTTCACGGAT